GCCCCATCTGCACCTTCCAATTACATCAGGTTACATTAACTGCAGGTCCCACGTCTTCTTATTAGTGTTCAAAGTCATCCTCAGCTTCCAAGACCAGGGCAAAAATCCAAATACATTCTAAGCTCTGCCATTGAGGGAATCATTTTGAAAAGAGTGGGTTTTCTATTGCCTCCTTTCCATCAAATAGATAGAAAGTTTCAGTTGCCAATTATACTGTTGCCAAGGGTAGGGGGTAGTGGAGGGGAAGAACTGAGGTTTCATTGTATTTCCTTTATAAATATATATCTACACCTACATGTAGACACAGAGGCAGCTAAGTTGGTACAGCAGACCTAGAGTCAGGAAGACCTGAGTTCAAATCAAGCCTCAGAGACTTACTAGCTATGTGACCCTGGTCAAGTCACTTAACCTCTGTCTGCCTCAGTTTCCTCATCTACAATATAAGGATAATAATAGCACCTACCTCCTAGGATTATTGCAAAGATTAAACATATGTAAAGTACTTAGCACAGTGCCTGGCACATAGTAGGAGCTTAATACATGTCTGTTTCCATCTGTCATATATACATATATACTTGTATGTATGCATATGTACATATGTGTGTGTGTGTATATATCTATATATATATGTGTTCATGCATGTATGTATGTATATGGGGAGAGAGAATGATGTATCCCTCTACAAGGGGTACATTTTCAGACCTCTTCTCTTCCCCAGCCCACTGGGAAGTGGGATGTCTAATGGTCCATGTTCAAATTTGCCCATCACCCAAATGGGTGATGTGAAGCCACTTTCTTTCCCAGAAAAATAGGGTGCTTTATTTTTTAGGATTATTGTTAAGGCTTTTGTTTTCATTATAGGAATCATTTTTGAAAGATTTGTTTATGTAATGCTTTGTATCTATAATATTTAACCCCCTAAGTGAAGTACAAAGCCTCAAACTTGGCACCAGGGCTGAATGGTACTATTCTCTGGGGATTGGTTTAAGGACATCATAACAGAAACCCCAACTTCAGGGAATAGTATAGCTGAAATAAAATATTCATTGAAGGTGGAGGAAGGGAATATTTATTAAGCTCCTACTATATGCCAGGCACTTTGCTAAGTGCTTTACACACATTATCTCATTTGATCCTCATAAAAAACCCCGGGAAGGAGATGCTATTATTATCCCCATTTTACTGTTGAGGAAACTGAGGCAGAGACCTTATATGGGGGTAAGTCTGCAGTCACATTGAGTACCATATATTTATTTTTTTAAATGCTAGTACTGTTCGAAACACCTGTAGAACTAGCTCTAGAACCGGATTTGCCTTTTGGACCCGGTTAGTGAGTTGCGTAAGAAACCTGGAGTTATTCCTCAATATACATCTTGTTTTTGATAAAAATGGAATTGTTCTGCTTGATCACTCAATCTTGTTTACCATACTTGGAGACTTCAAGTTGTTTCCAAAAATCAAATCCATCCTGGAAGGATGAAGATTTTCCACTTCAGAATTTCAAAACAAGGTGCGACAAAGCCCAAATTCTTAAATTATTCTGAGCAAGGGTGCTATCAGCAGAAAAAATGTACTATACCAAAGGGAAGACCAAGATGAAATATTGGGTGGGGGACTGGTCCTGGAAAGATCGTCTTACCTCTGACCCATACTGGCTATGTGATCCTAGGCATGGCACAACCTCAGTGCCTCAGGCAACTATCTATAGATGCATCAGTTCTGGTATAACATCCACAATTTCAGTCATGTGCTATATGCTGAAAGCTCATGATACATGTTTCAGGGTCCACCACCTGGTACTATTTGCTTTAACAGGTGGCCCTTTTGATGCTTTAGTAATAAAGTTCTCTTGGATCTAATTTTTTTTACACTAATTTTACTAAATTTCATTGCATAATGGAAAGTACAATAAGAAAGTTTCATTGACGAATTTGTGATTTTCTTATAAGAACAAAATATATAATTAGACATGTATTAAAACCACCTCCACTAGAATATGTGCTTAAGAAGCAAATTTTTCTGCCAGGATTGCAAATCAAGAACTCATGTTGATGGTCAGAAAGTTCATTACTTTTCTGTGTAACAGATAATCCCCTTTAGCAGCCCAAAATTACTTTGTAAGAAAAACATTGCCAAAGTAAGGCTTACAGTTCAAATATAATTAGCCCAGTACTTTTTTTTTTAAATGAGATCACGTAAGTGAATTAGAGATAGAGACTGGACCTGTGGTTTCACTGGTAGAAATAATTTCATCATGAGAAAACTCACTCTATGTAGGTTGACACATTCTCACAGTTTACATAGTCTTAGAGGAAACAACCTAGATTGCTTAGAGGCTAAGTGACTTGTCCAGGGCCATAATGCCAGTATATGTCAGAAGCAGACCTCGTATTCCTGGTTCTTCGGCCAGTTCTCTATCTGCTATGAAGAAATGTTAATTTAAAGTAGCTAAATTATAAGTTTAACCACTTTTTAAAATGTTACTTGTTTTTAGAAGTAACCCTTCTTCATTATTTTTTCCATGACCTTTTATGTGTAGGACTACTGTTCTAAAATTCTTCCTGTTGGGATAGTCCTGTCTGCATTGCATCCTCCGTGGCTAGTAGAGGAACTGGGATTTGGAGGACAGTGAATTCTATCTTAGTTGCAATTAAGTTGGAATTTAGAAACTTTTTATGGCTCCTCTATAAAATAAAGTTAAAACCAAATCTCATAGGATTGTTCTAAGAAATTCAGGATAAAAGTAATTTTCAAGTCTAAAAAGATTAAAAATCTTTCCCACTTATCTCTAGTCCCAATGGTTTGAAACCACCTTACCTGCTAACTTTAATCATCCCTTCACCTTTTCCATTAAACCATTTCCACAGACCACCAGAAGAAGCCTAAAAGTAATACTGAATATTACTCTGTGCTTCTCTGTCACCTCAAAATAACTTCTGAAAGGCATCTGTTGAGTTAGATGATGGCCTTAAATAAGTAGGAACCAATTCTCTGAGCATTATGAGGATACAATATGCTACAATGTTAAACAGTAATAATGTAAATGGTAAAGAATATTAAAGCACAATGCTCATGGTGGAGAATGAAGCTATGGGAAGTGATCTAAAGCACGTATTTTTATAAGGCAGAAACATGACATCTGAATGAGCTATTTTAGTTTAAAGCAATATTAGTAAGTGGCTGAATTACTCAAGTTCAATCTCCCTTAATGGAACATCGCATGAATTCCAGTATTCTATTTGGTCAAACTGATCTTACTGATCAAAGACCTATTGGGACCTGATTTTTACTAGCACTCTGGGATGTGCAGGGTAATTGGCAAGAAAGGCACTGGAAGGAAGAGTGAGATGCAGTTCTTACGCTTACATAAATTCTAAGTAGCCTAGCAAGCAGTAAGAATTATACTCTGTGGGTTCCAAGAGCACAATGCACCAATCATTTCTTTCCCTGCGGATGCCATTCGCCCTTCAGACTGCAGGCCCACTCTTTTCTTTGAAGTAAAATTTAATTATAGCACTCAAGCAAAATTGGATTCAAACTTTCCACCTTTATTCTTCCCACAGTGTACCTTTTAAATGTCATCTACTAAAAGACAAGCCAAAAAAAGAAACCCTTTCTCTCAACTGATAAGCTAGGCATTCGAGAAATAATACAATGTTCGTCTTAATCTATGATTAAGATCTCGTGAAAAAAATGAAGCCTTTTAAATTTCTTCTTGCATACTTCAAGGGCTCTCTGATCTCCCGGAGAGGTCACTACTCTCTTCAAAGATGAAGATCACAACCCCCTCCATGTCTTGTCCACAACCTCCCAGAAATTTTGCAGAGGGGTCTACCCAGCGTGCGGGGCTTCTCCTCCATTTCAGCTGACGTTACACAGAGAAAGGGAGCGAGTGGACTGTCCACTTGTTCTCTGTCACCGCATAAACGGACCCAATTTCTTTTCTGAACGTATGCTCCTCTGATGACATCCCTGACGCTTCTTCTCTAGCACAATTCTTAGCTGTGAATGTGTCCTTACACAAAAAGACAGTGAAACAGAAGAGCGAGCTCTAGATTTGAAGACAGGTGACTCGGGCTTGGATCTTGGCTCTGCCATCTACCACCTGTGTGGTGATGCTCCCCTCTGTGCCTGTGTTATCTGTAAAAAAGGGAGTGGGGAGGGTTGGCGTCTTCTAGTTTTAAATCTCATACGCTATAAAAATATACACATTCGTGAAATGTGTACTTGTTCATATAAAAAATACACAAATACTTCTCTCACTCTCGTAGTCTTGCAAAAGAAATAAGTCATAACTGCTTGTAACACTCTTCATTTAAGTGAGTAAAACGAACCTTCTGATATAAACAGGAAAAACTCCAGGCCCATCACCTGATTTTATTCTTATTTTAAGAGTCAAACTAGTAATAACAATTATACTTTTCAGGGCTGAACGAAAAAGGAATTGATTTTCTAATCTTTAGTCATCATGGGTATACCATACACTGTAAAAGCCCCTTTGTTCAATTTCTTGGTTTCCATTTAATTATTTTTTTATTTTGGGGGTTTTGGCTAGGCAATGGGGTTAAGTGACTTGCCCAGGGTCACACAGCTAGTAAGTGTTATGTGTCTGAAGCCAGATTTGAACTCAGGTCCTCCTGAATCCAGGGCCGGTGCCATATCCACTGTGCCACCTACCTGCCCCTCCATTTAACTCTGTTAAATGCTGAGGAGAGCTTCAGTTCAGTGAATGTCTAGAGATTAAAAAAAAATTCCCAACAATATTGCTCTGAGCATATATAAGCAAGAGCATACATAGCCATGCCGGTAGAAAACCATATTTAACCAACATATCTGGCAACAAAACTTCCACAATAAGCTGCAAATATAAAGTCTTTAGATCAAAGATCTCAGACTGGAAGAAAGTGTCATATATTCTTATAAAGGTCAAATCTTTGGGGTAACTTGTTACAAATGATAAAAAAAAATTAAATAACCCATAGTGTGTTCACAAAACCCAATGGATAAAATGTTCTGTGTAATTTATTTACAAAGAGAAAAATAATTCCCCAAATTCATTTTATAGTATAGTTCTATGGAAATAAATGCATAGTTAGCTATATTTGCTATAAAACATAAGTGAGAAATAAATTGAAATTATTTGCCACAATATATTAATTTGTCATTTATTTTTAAAAACCTCATGTACTATGTGTCATTGTTCTTAAGGATGTAATAAGATATCCAGCATCCATTATTTCTGAGGCATGATAAATTCTGAGCTTAATTTTTAAAAGGTTAAAAAAACATTTTTTCTAATAAAAAGATTTTATTTCTGTTTTTTAAGTTTAAAAAATCCTAGATATGTTCACCATTCCAAGAAAGTTCAGCAAAGGAATAAAAAAAATAAGGAAATTAGTCATCTTCTGAATCACTTTCTTCCTTTGCTGGGAGAGAGCACCTGACTGAGGACATCAATTTATCTTCAATCTGTTTCTTGGGGTTTTCCTCTAGGTCAGTTTTGATTGCTCCAGATTCAGAAAGTTTCCATTCCAGTTCTGTAAGATAAAAGGTGGGGGAACAAATGAATTTATTTTCTTCCTGAAGTGGCTCATTCAAATTTCAAAATTCAAATTCGAAAAATTTCCCACAAGGAAACCACAGCTAGCCTAAGCTGAAAGGCACAGTATTAAAAAAAAAAAATCACAACTACTAATAAGGAAAAAATAATACCAATTCAAATCTATATGAAGATAAGGAGATAAAATAAAATTATTTTTCTCTAGGCTCAATAGTTTCTTGGATTGAACAACTTTTCGGGGAAAGAAAAACAGACAGTAATTCTACACAACAAAAGAATTAGTTTCCTCAATCCTGCTGGCAATCTTTAAATCTAATTCCAGTTAGACAAAAAATTACCAAACTTTATATTCTCTTGATTTCAAGTAATTTATTGAACTTAGCATCAAGGGGGAAATAAACAAAAATTGTCATAAAGATGACCAATTTCCATGATGACCTGCTTGAATCAATACATGTGCCCTGGTTACTAACAAACTCAATTAGAAAAGTGAAGAAATTGGTTGCTGAAGCTACAGCTTTTTTTTTTTCACTCAGATTTATAATTAGATTGAGCTCTACACGTGCTGGTGGGCCCTCCTGAAGCAAAATTAAATGATTTACTTTTCTACTGTAGAAGGAAAAATGCAGGCAGAATGTCTTCCATGTTTCTTGTGTTTCTATACATAAGACCGAAACAAAATAATCTGGATTTGGTTCAGTTAGTCTTTAAAGTGAATTAATATGGTGACGCACTAAAGTATTATTAATAAAATCTGACACTGCATGACGAAACTCATTTTTTGTTTTCTATAGAATGCTTTAGTCAATATCTTCAGTTCTAGGTACACTTAGACAATTATGAAAGCTCAAATCAAATCTCTTAGAATAAAATGTCATACTACACAAATCATCATGTAAAATCTGTGATTCTTTACCCCACTGGTTTTGATGAAAGATTTCATAAAAGGCTGCTACAGCTATTAATTTGTGTATAGCTGAAAGATCTGCACTGGACTCTTTTGGCAGAACAGATGCCTTGCTACATCATACCTATTTTAATTAGAAACAGTATTAAAGGTTACCCATGTCTACAAGATGACTAATTTCCTAAAGAAGTCTTATTCCAGTGAAGAAATCTCACTGGCTAAAATTTAGCAACCCAATTCTACCACATTTGAAATTAAGACCTTAAATACTAACACAATTCCATTCTTCTGCATGCTAAAAACTTAGGAAAACTAAAAAATATATGTGGTTTTCAATCTTTATAGTTCTGGTGCTATTAAATAAATGATACAGTCTGTAAAAAGGCAGCCTGCCAAAGCAGATAGAGAGCTGATTGCAAAGCCAGGAAGTCTGGGTTCAAACCCTGCCTCTGATATATACTGGCTGTGTGACCTGGAGCAAGTCACTTAAACTTTCAATATCCTAGACAACCCTCTAAGACTTTAAGGTGCACAGAACAAGCTAACCTGCAGTAGGGGCAGAGGGAGCTCCTCACCAAGGTATTCTCTGTACCAATGAAATCATAGGTCCAGTCCCTATTTCAGTCATTATATATGCAAAAATATAAATATAATACATTCAGTAAAATTTCATGTATGATTGCTAACATTACAAGTAACATCCGGCAGGATTTTGTCAGGAATAAGAATGCTACAAAAGTGCAGTCCCTGTCCTGTCTCTCCCCACTTCTCTCTCAACACCCATCCCTAGTTCTTCTCTCTTTGGTCTCCCCAAAAAGTGAGTTTATCATCAATGCAGATGACACCCACACCTATATCCAGCCCTAGTCTCTCCTGAGTGCCAGTTGGGAAACTAGCTTCCTACTGGACATTTGAAACTGGTTGTCCTACAGGCATATCAAACTCAACACGTCCAAACCAGACCTCATCTTCCCCCACGCCCTTCCCCAATCCCTTTCTCAACTTCTCTTGTTTCTATTAAAGGAACCAGTATTCTTCTAGTCACTCATCCCACATAGCTTATCAATGGCCAAATCTCATTCTTAATTCCATAAGCTCTTTCATATATATCCCCTTCTTTCCATTCACACAATCACTATCCTAGTGTCAGCCTGAACCATTACAATAGTCTAATCACTCTCCTTGCCTTGATCCTCTTCTCGCTATATCCTATTCTCCAGACAGCATCAAAGTGATTTTTCTAAAGCAAAGGTCTGAACCATGTCATTTCCCTGATCAAGTTAACTCCAGTGCCTTCCTGTTGCCTCTGGGATCAAATACAAGCCCCTCTCTTTTACAATGAAAGCCAGAGCTAAGTGGCAGTTAGGTGGCAAACGAGTTGTGTGACCCTGAGCAAATCATCTAACTTCTGTCTACTTCAGTTTCCTCATTTGTAAAATGGAGCAACTACCTCCCACGGTTGTTATGAAGATCAATCCAAATGAAATAACTTGTGTAATAATACTTTGCAAATCTTAAAGTACTAAAATACTAACTATTATCACTTACCACTTCACAATCTGGCCTCATCCCACCTGTCCAGCCTTATTACACATCATTCTCCTCCATGGACTCTGTGGTCTAACCACACTAGTCTCCTTGCTGTCCATCTCTCATCTCCCATCTCCAGGCCTAGAATGCTCACCCTCACAGTATGCCTCTTAGAATTCCCAGTTTCCTTCAAAGCTCAGATAGCTCAAGACCCTCCCCTACAGGAGGCATTTCCTGGTTCTCCCAAGATTACACTGCATCTCTTTACGTGTTTCAAATACGTATTTATGTGCATGTTATCGTCTCCGATAGAACATAAGCTTCTTGAAGGCAGGAACAGTTTCCTTTTGTCTCTATAGCTAGGCAATTTTCTAAGACCCTAGGTCGCAGATGAGGTTCAACCTGCAATGGTAGATAGTTTCCTCACTCGTAGGTCTAAGCCCTGTAGCTAAAATCGTGCCTAGCTCAGCAGGCCCTTAATAAATTCTTGTTGATTATATCTATCACTAAACATTCTTATGTAAACAAACAAAAAAATCAAGGGTTTGATGGTAGCTGATTTTTTAGCAATGTAACCTTTAAAAAAATAACACCACCACCCAAGGTTAATGACTGATCAAAGACAAATAAAATAAATCAGAAATTAATGGTAAAGTCTTTTTTCTTCTGATCATTGATCAGAAAGATCACTGATCGCTTCTTGCTTCTCAAAAATTTAAGACAAAAGTGAACTGAGCTGCACTACTCTATCATAACTGTCAGACCCACAGCCATGTAGGTTTTACGTGGGATTTCTCTCCTTTCTGATTATAACTACTTACCATCCCTTGTCAGGTTCATGCCACCAAATACTAGAGGACCAATAAACTGGGCCTTGATATCACCCTCAAGATAGACAAATATTGTGGGCAGATTCCTATCGGGATAGTTGGGTATGCAAGTTGTTGAAATAGACTTGATAAATTTCACATCAGGAAACTTTCTTGCAAGTCCACTGAAGTGCTGGTTTATAAGTGTACACAGAGGGATTCTGTAAAATAGAAAATCAACATAAGAAGCCGACAGTTCAATGTGGACAAAACAAATAAAATATTTTCATTCTCCCAACCCAGTAGCTTGAGTTCTATACTGGCTAAGGTCAATTTAAAATTATTTTACTTCTCACAATTCAATTTTTTGCTTCTCGTACCACATATTTTCCAGGAAGTAGATTTAATAGATTAATACAGAAAAGTAAAAAGAAGTTCTTGCAAAAAAAAAAAGTACATACTGAAACACTGAGCAAGCTAGAAAAGCAGAGTTTATACATAAGATCTAATTTTATTTTATGTGATAAATAACATAATTAAGTAACATAATTTTAATGTAAAAGGCACTTATTCCCCTCCTTTTTAAAGGAAACCTGGTAAAACATTCAGAATTATGAATTTATGTGGTGGGTAAGCAAACATTTTCTGCTGTTAATATGATTTCATGGTTACTTTTGGAAGGAAGTCTATTGAACATGGGACCAGGTAGAAGTATAGAAGATGGCAGAAATAGTTGAGAATTACTATGTCAATTATTATACAAAAATTGCAGGCAACCAAGGCATTCACTAGAATGACTAATTAGTTGATTCTTGAATTCTACTGTATCTCTCAGTTTCTCAACATAAGCAAACAAATTAGGAATCAAATTTTTCAATAAAAGAAAAGTTCTAAATTTATCGAGTAGGAGAAAAATTGCCAGGCCATAAATATGATAAATGAAATACATTTTTAAATAAGCACGTAGCTCAAAAAGAACTTCATATTTTTCATAACCTAATGGTTCACAGAATTCACGTGGTTAGTAAAATAAGAGTGAATAGGTTAGCACTAAAATCTCAAGACTATCAACCACAAAAAACATCTTAGCGAAGCTACTGATCAATGAAATCTAAAATGCCTACTCAAAGCCTCAAAAGCAAAGAAGTACTTTTTAAAAAGCATAAGATTGACTTACCCTTGTTTGTAAAGGTGCAAGATTACCCACAAGCCTTTGCCAGCTTTGGTAACTTCTTCAACATAATCTTTCCCTGATATCTCCAAAACTTCTCCAAATTTGTTCTTTAGTTGGGTTGCTTTCCATTCTGCAAGTCTTTGTTGCCTGTAACATAGACGGGGGAAGACAAAAACGTGAAATTCACCATACTCAAATTTAACTTACTCAAATTCATTTATATATGCTCAGTAAAACACAAACAAAACACCCCCAATGATTTAAATAGTACAAGTGCCCACCACTAAAGGTGGCTAGAGTCCACTTAAATAGGGCACAGTGCCCACCAGTCCACTCGATGAGCAGGCATTCCACAGTGCCCAAGCTGGGAGACATGACTCTCTCCAAAGTCAAGACCCTCCAGTGGACCCCAGTGTCCCTCTCTACCTCTCCTAGGGCAGGAGAACAAGAACACCTCATCCAGACATAAATCCAGTCCAGCCCTGCCTCAAGGCCAGCTCAATTAGGCCAGCCCTTCTGCAATTCTTATCTTGAAGATATGATTCCAGATCGCCAACTTCTCTTAGCTACTATACTTCATGGGTAATTTAAGGGATTCTATGTTCTGGGTAATTTTGACTATACAAAATTTTCACCTCAAGGCCACATGTGGTCTCTAGGTCCTCAAGTGTGACCCTTTGACTGAATCCGAACTTCACAGAATAAATACTTAATAAAAGGATTTGTTCTGTGAAGTTCAGATTCAGTCAAAGGGCTTCACTTGAAGACTAAGAGGGCCACATGTAGCCTCAAGGCCACAGGTTCCCCACCCCTGATCTAGGTTCTAAAGTGCCAACTCTAGAACCTAGCATCCATGCAAGATGTAACTCTACTGTATGTTTAACAAAGTAATCTTACATTGGAACTGCTTTTGTACATCAATTTTCATTCATCATGTCAAAGGAGTCTGGTTTTATGTGTCTCACAAAAAGGGAACAAAATGTAGAGTAATTTAATTATAATTCTTTCCAAATGTTATCTCATCCAGCAAATTATTTTCTCAAAGGATATATGCTTCATTACTATACAAAAGACCAAATAGTTCCCATACATCTAACCTGTACATTTCAATAGCATGCTCATCTTCCTCATTAAATTCATCTTCATTTTCTTCTAGTTCTTCCAATGTCATATCTTCATATGTTTTCACTGAAATGAATCACATTAGCAACAGACAAAATTATCTGCAGCAAAGAATGGAAAACCAATGCTACTTTGCAATATACTTTTATTCTCCCCTTCTTCCTCAAAGCAATGCACTCATTCACTTTTATCAACACCTCCCCTGCTCCCCTAAAAAGCCAAAAGTTACATTAAATGATTCATTTTAAACCTGAAAAGACTGAGCAGAGCTGAAATGATTTCTTCCCAAAGGTACTGATGATCCCATCTTACCAAATGCTTGCAGAACATCTCCACCTGGATGTTCCACAGGCATCGTGAATGTCTAAAAACAGAAATCATATCCCACTCCACTTCCCTGACCCAAATTTTCCATTTCTGTTGAGGGTGCCAATCACTCAGGCTCACAACCTTAAAGGTATCTTCCTTTGACTCTTCCTTCTCTCTCAACCTCCATAACCAATCAGTTCCCTCTATCACATCTCTTGCATCTATCCATGCCCTTTCTGCCCTTACGCAGCTTCCATTAGAGTTCAGATCAAGACCTAGTTACATTTGGCCTGGACTACTGCAAAAGCTTTCTACCTGGTCTCCATGTCTCAGTTTCTCCCTTCTATGTTCTCCACCTAGCTGCCAAATTGATATTCCTAAAACACAGAACTGACCACGCCATTCCCCACCCCAAGAATCTTCAATGGCTTCCTGCCTAAATAATCTGTGGTTTTTACACTGTTGTCATTTAGAGACATATACCTCATCGCCCACCCACACCCATCATTATCAAATGAGCCTTCCCTTCTCACAAAGAAAACAGTTCAGCAAAACCAATTTTTGTGACCCTATCAGACAGGATAAGTCACATTCCACATCTATTCATCCACCCACCTCTCCACAGAAAGGAAGGAAATACTTTTTCATCTTTTCTCTGGGGCCATGATAGGTAGTTATGATTGTTCACCATCAAACTCTTTAATGGCTCCCTATAGCTTCTAGAATAAAAACCAAATCCTTAGTCTGACATTTAAACCACTCCATTCATCCGCTCTTCTGATCATATTTCATCTTACTACCCTACCACTCACATACTCTGTCCAGGTCAAACTGGTCTGCTAGATATTCCTCATACATGAATTCTATCTGATCTTCTGCTTCTATGCCTTTGAATAAGCCCCCCACATCAGGAATGCATTCCTTCTTCAATTATATGTGATACAATCCCTAGCTTCCATCAAACACAGCTCAGGTTCCTTCTCTGACACCAGGACCTCCCTGATCCCTCCAGTTATGAAAACAGTCTTCCTCCTGAAATTACTTTATATTTACTTGTGTAGATGTTTGCTTTTCAATCCCCAGTGCCTTACCCTGTGCCTTGAACATAAGAGACACTCTATAAATGTTTGGTGAATTAGACTTAATAAAGGAAGACATTAATAAGGAGTGCCCAGAATGAAATTTAATCTTCCTGATTCAATTTTTTAAAAATCTAGGAATAAGGGGTCTCAAATTTAAAAGTTACAGATCTATAAGTAAACTAAGAAATCATCTGGTGATTTACACAAGAACGGGCAACCAATTTTTAAAAATACAGTTATCTTAAAAGAGAAAGCATGAATGGTCAGAGGGTTGGACTTGGGTTACATTCTTGACTGTGACACTAGCTTTGTGACTCTATTCATGTCACTTATCTTTCTGGGCTTTAACCGACTGATCAATCAATCAAATGGCTGATAAATATAACAAGCAAATGCATTAGAAGTTCTTCCACCAAAAAATGCCAATAAGAAACTAACCAAAAGCAAACAGACTTAAGATTAACTGTTTTGTTTTTTTTAAATCACCATCTAAAATCATAAGCTCCATCCACATGTTCATCTACATAAGAAGCCAGAGAATCAAAGATGTAAGGGAGAAAGGCTGTGTGTAAAGGCACCACTGATGGAATGCCAAAGTGGTCCAACCATTCTGGAAAGCAATTTGAAACTGTGCTCAGAAAGTCACTAAGTGGTACTCTCTTAGGCTCAGCACTATTTCTACAATAATAGCTAGCATTTATATGGCTCACTAAGATTTGCAAAGAACTTTACAAACATTATCTAATTTTATCCTAATAATAACCCTGGGAAGCAGGTGATACTATCTGTATTTTATAAATGAGGAAATTGAGGCAGGCAGAAGTTAAATGACTTGCCTGGGATCACACAGCTAGTTAATGTCTGACGCTGTACTTGAACACAGGTCTTCCTGACCCCAAGGCAGCATTCTATCCACTGCTCTTTTCACCTGGCTACCTAACACTACCAGGCCTATCGCCAAAAGAGGACCTTTTGTTACAGCAAAAACTGGAAACAAAATGGGTACCCGCAACTGGGAAATGGCTTATAAATCATACTATATTAATATAATGGAATATTACTAAACCATAAGTAATGACAAAAGGGATGGAGTCAGAGAAACCAGGGGAGACTTGTGTGAAATGATAAAGAGAGAAATGAGCAGAATCAGGAGAATAAAGTATACAACAATTATAACATTGTAAAGGAAAACAACTTTGAAAAACCCAAGAATTCTGATCAATGATCAATCACGATTCCAGAGGAGCAATGATACCCACCTCCTGAAAGAACAGTAATGGACTAAAGATGCAGAATGAGACACACACATCTGGATATGGCCAAAAATTGATTTGTTTTCTTGACTGTGGCTTATTTGTATGAGGGAGAGTTTTTGCTGTTGTTTTCTAATTGGAACCACTGGGTTAGTGATAGTGAGAGGTCAACATATAAAATAAAATACAGAAGAATGCCATTGATATTTTTTTAAATGTACAGAAGAAACAGAAGTTCAGAAGGAGACAGGCAAGCAGGACAATTTACAAGAATTTATTATAGACTTTAAAAATACACAAGTCATCCATAATAAGAATCCACGGTTCCATGTAGAATCTTTTTTCTGTCTTTCTTGGTATACAGAAATGTTTTCAAGTTCATAATAATATTTTTTTTTAATGTAAGGAATACTAGAGATCATTTGATACAACCAATTCCCATCCTTACAAGTTTACCAATGAGCAAACCAAGACCCAGAGAGGTCAATATGAACTATTTATGGCCATATAGCCGGTGTGAAGGCAGAATCAGCACTAGAACCAAAGCCTCATGACTATTAAGACTCTTTCTACCATAACAAGTGCTTGAATTAAAAAAAAAAATTTAAGTCCACCAACCTAGATAAAGAATAGTCAAGGAAATGAATTGACCTCACCTATTGATTGCTGAAGGATGTGCTTTTCTTCTTCTTCCCTCTTCTTTTCCAGATCCTTCAAACTTTCCTTTGGGGGCAATATACCCTTCTTTCGTAGGATGTCATTCCACTCAGTGTCTGCACTGGGGTCCTAAAACAGTAAGATCAAGGATGACTTTAGGGACATCAAATTCAACAAGTGCCCAGTGTGGTGATTCTCAAAGTAGGGAGCAGGAGGCAGAAATGGCTTACAGTAGTGGATGGTAGACTGACACCTGATTCGTCTTGGTTAAGCCTTAATTCTATTCCCCACATTCCTGGGCAAGTCTGTAATGCTTCTCAGTGCTTCTGCTCCCAATCCTTCTCTTCTTGTCTTACTATTACTCTCTCTTCCCACCTCCTAATATCTCCTAACATTTACTCGGTAAATGGTAAATGGTAGATAATCATGGTTGAAACAGTGTGGTCTAGCCTGGTGGGACTGTAGAAGAATCACTTCATGATTCTCTAACTCAAATCTGGTCTTCAGTTTAAGATTAAAGAATGAAAGTTTTAATTCAAGTGTATATACAGATTATGTGCAAAACATGGAGGCCTGGAAATGAGAGTAAAGATGTACCAGCAGTTGGAAAATTTAGGTTTTAAAGAAATCCTCAATTCTGAGAAGCAAACAGGAGTGACTGTCTCTGGAAGAGGGTCTCATGTCAAGGTATGTCAAAGAGGCTGTAGGACAGGTACTGATTACAATCTAATTTCATGCTCTTTGTAAGAATGCTTATTAGGGTGTATGTAAAATAGTCTCAATTTATAAGGCACATTTTAATAGTTTTGAATTTTTGTTAGAAATTTAGCTAGAAATGTCCCTGGAAGTCTATGTAATTTTTAAAAATTATTTTTAACATTAACTTGATAAATATTCTGAACTTCTCTCTGCTCCCCTTGTGCATTTTTTAAATGTTTCATTTATTTTTTTTCCCTTTTCTTTCTTTTTTTGGGGGGCATCAGGAATTTTAAGTACTCATTAAATACCTCTTTTCCCATAAAAACAAATCTCCAAACCCCAAGTTAGTACTCAAAAATTTAGACAGATGCCCACAGTGGTCTCAAGATAGAAAAAGTCTGAGGTGATCAGCAAAGGGCTATTCACATTTATTTAATCAAATTTACATTTGTTTATTTAATCAATTGACCAGCATTTGTTAAGTATAAACTATGTGCTAAGCACTGTTAGGTGCTAGGGGTAAGGATACAAAGATAGAAAAAGAACTTTTGTTCTTTTTCTTTCAAAGATCCTACAAGCTACTGTGAATATAAAAACATGATGGAACATGTGAATAAATGAGTATATACAAAATAAAAACTAAGTAATTCCTTAAGGGGAAGGCATTCGGAGGTCACTGGGGGAGGTGGGGAACACTCTAAAAAAAGATGGCACTTGAGCTTTGAAGGAAAGCAGGAATTCTAAGCAGCTGAGGTGAATGAGGAACACATTCCAGTCTTGCGCCAAGAAAAGGCACAGAGACAACTGATATAAGGCCACTTCAGCTGGACCACAGAGTATATTAAAAGGAACTATGTATACAAGACTACAAAAGTAAGTTGGAAGGGCTTTAAATGCCAAGTTTGTGAAGGACTACAAATGCCAAACGGAAATTTATTTCTGACCCTAACAAGGAGGTAACAATTTATTGTATAGGGGAATGACATGTTCAGATCTGTGCTTCAGGAATATCACTTGGGCACCTGGCAGCTAGGCGGCACAGCGGACAGAGCACTGGGCTTGGAGTCAGAAGACTCATCTTCATGAGCTCAAATCCCACCTCAGACATCTATTAGCTATGTGACCCTGGCAAGTCACTTATCCCTTGTTTGCCTCATCTGTAAAATAAGCTAGAGAAAGAAATGGTGAACCACTCCAGTATCTCTGACGAGAAAACCTCAAACACAGTCATGAAAATGACTGAACACCAACAGACCTGAGCCCCCTGAATCCTAGCTCAAGATTACCAACTGCTTGCTGGACATCTCCACCTTGGGATGCCCCACAGAGAATTCAAACTAGAAAAGCAGCTCACTCCCTACCACTCTCCCAACTATACACTCATCCTCCAAACTTCTCCACTTCTGTTAAGGGTACCACCTTACTTCCAAAGCCCAGGTTCACAATCTTGGAGGCATCCTTGACTTTTCTCTCTTCCTCAAGTTTCCTTCTTATTTCACACATACATGTCTTTCTCTTCACTCACACAGCATCTACCCTAGTTCAGTACATCATCACATCTGGCCCAAACTATAGCTTCCTAACTGGTCTGTCTGCTTCCACTCTACCTTCCCTCCGAGTTATCTCCCACAGGGAATTAAATTTATATTTCTAAAACAGAACCAATTATGATACCCCATGCCCTACACACTCAAAAAAAACCCTAGGGCTACTGAGATAAAATACAAACTCCTCAACCTGACATTTAAAGCGCTCTACAATCAAATTTCCACCTACTTCTTTCCACTCTCACATCCTTTCCATTTCAGTCAAAATGTCCTGCTAGCTGTTGCCATGCCCATCTCTGGACCACATGAATACAACGGCCATATGGAATGCACTCCCCCTTCACGTCATCTTTCAGAATCTCGACTCCTTGGAAGCACAGCTCAGGAGCCATTTCTGACAAGAGGCCTTTCATGATGGCCCCAGTTATTGGCACTCTTCCCCTCTTACTACTTTGTATTTGTTTGAGTAATATCCTTAAGAATAGACGTTGTTTGACTTTTTTTTTCTATCTACAATCTTAGCACAGTGGGACATAGAGCACTCTTAAATGCCTATTGATTAAACATACATTATGTATCCCCTTCAGTTCCTAGAACAGTAACATTTGTATAGTTAAGTGTTTAACAAATGTGATCCTCCAACAACAAACCCAGAGATCCATCAAGGTCTGAGCATGCTGACTGTTTCTCAAGTTTGAATTAAACTTTGAAACAAGAAAAATTCGGCCTCATATACTAACTTCAGTTAATAAACTGCAAGAAAAATTGGATCCTGTGGAACGACCCCAAGATTTGGGGTTAGAAGACCCAGGTTCAAAACCTATTTCTGTCATTTTTCTCTGTAACCTTGCGCCAAATCACTTAAACTCTGTAAGTATCATTTTGGTCCTCTGTAAAAAGATGATGGATTAGATGCCCTCTACAGAAATCCCTTCTCGCTCTAAGTATGTAAGACAGGGATGTGTGATTTCATGAATATTAGTAATTCCCAGAGGAGTAAACTCCTTCTACCCTGGACATTAGTATATTTTTTGAATTTTTTTTTCAAATTTGGCCAGCTTACCAGCTGAGTGACCCTGGGCAAGTCACTTAACCCCAACTGTCTCACCAAAAATGGGAAAAAAAAAAAGAGTTGCCAGGAGGCATACTGAGAAGTCACATCTGTCAGTGTCAGAGATGGGACTTGAACTCAAGTCTTTCTGGCTCTGAGAATAGCTCTCTGTGCATGCTACCCTCTCATGATTCAAAATGATCCAATATAATTAATATAGTTTTGTTTTATTTTTTTCCCAAATAGACAATAATCTCTGAGATAACTAGACCAGCAGCTAGGTGGTGCAGAGTTGGCCTCAGCTACCAGTAGTAAGACACTGAGCGAGTCACTTAACCATTGCCAGCCTCATTTTCCTTATCTGTAAAATGGAGATAATAACAGAACCTACCTCCCAGGGATGCTGTAAGGATATATAAAGTGCTTTGAAAACCTTAGGGTTTCTTTCAAAGTGTAGCTCAGGGTTTATTTCTTCCAGAGGCCTTTCCTGATGGCCCCAGTTACTGCCTTTCTCCCTTATTATTTTGTATTTACTTGTTTGATAATTTCCATAAGAACAGAGGTTGTTTGCAAAGGTTTGCAAAGCTACCTTCAAGCTTTGAAAGTATTTTAAATGCTAGCTGCTATTATTATTATTACTATTATTATCATAAATTGCTCTTTATTGTTTCCAAGTTTCAATTTGCTTGTAGTCAACAGCATTACAGTTTCTCCAAATGGGGCACAGATAATAAAATTTATGACATTTAAAGCAAGGGGTTTAGGGTAGGGGTGGGGAACCTGAGGCCTCTAGCCCACATGTGGCCTTCCAGGTCCTTGGGTGCCGCCTTTTGACTGAGTCCAAGTTTTGCAGAACAAATCATTTTATTAAAAGGATCTGTTCTGTGAAGCTTGGATTCAGTCAATTAAGTCCACACTTGAGGACTTAGAGGGCCACATGTGGCTTCAAAGCTGCAGGTTCCCCACCCCTGGTTTCAGGGCAAAAGTTTTCCAACCCAAATGACCATCTGGTTCTATGATGTCAATCCTCTAAGTGAGAAAATTACCTCGACTAATTCTGGTCACAGCAACTTCTCCACGAATTAAAAGTTTCAGATAATGGTTTTTTCACTTTTTGTGTCATGGACCCTTTAAACAGCACGGTGTACCTTCTCAGAATAATATTTTAAAATACAGTAAGTTATAGGAATACAAATGAAATCAATTCTTTTGAAATAAAATGTTAAATAAAGTACAGGATTTCAAATACTGAAATGGTCATCCAAATTTTTTTTTTTACTTCTTAGACCCCAAGTGGAGAAGCAGTCTTAGAAGTAAATGACTTGCCCAGGACCACATGCTCACAGAAAGGATTCGAACCCAGATTTTTAAAAAAATATCATTGCTTTCCTGATCCCAAATGAGTAACAGCTAGCGCACTTCTGCAATGCTTTAAAGCTTAGTTTTACAATTATCCCCATCTTAGTTTTACATGTAATTGAGGAAAAAAAATTAAATCTAAAAAAAAATCCCCATTTTACAGATGGAGAACCTGAGGCAGCGGTCAAGCGACTTACCCAGGGTCACCATGTAATAAGGATTTGAACTCGCATATTCCTGACTCTGGGTCTAGCTGTCTACGCAATGCACCACCTAGCCACCTGTAGGAAGCCGCAAATACTAATAATGACAATAACAATGTTAAAACCAGAGTTGCCGCTGCTGTAGGCTTTATAAGAGCACTAGCAGAAGCAGCAGCAGTATCAGACTCCCCCACTGCGCATGCGCCACGCCCCGCAGCGGTCTCGAGGCCGCCCCCACAGCCGCGTGCCCCGCAGGCCATCCGGGTCAAACCTCCGCCCCGGGACAGCCTGGGGTCGCTTCTCTTCTTGCTTCTCTTCCTCCCTCCCTCCCCTCACCTGCATCTTGTCGCCAAAGCCCTCAGTTAGGCCAGTAGACTGCTCCTCAAACCCAGTTTGCCTTCAGCCCTCAGTTGTGACCGCGCAGGCGCAAGGCCAGCCCAGCCCAACCCATCCTATCCCGGGGCTACCACCACGCCCCCAGCAGCTGCGCTCCCTACACCAGCCAGCCAAGATCAAGACAGCCTCGGTTTGCCCCATAAAGGAAGCTTCTAGTGAGCATGCGCACAGCCCGCCGGCGAGGGTTTTGGTTTTTTTGTTTTAGGTCATACGCAGAACACCCGGTAAGGCAGCGTCAGTATCTGGGCCTTGCGCAGAATTGCGGGAGGGCGTGATTTCGTATTTAGGTCATGCGCACAACGCCCCGGCTCCTGCTTAGACTCGGGAGTTGTGGTCTTGTGTTTCCAGCTGTTGCCCCGCCCACAACCTTCGGGATTTCCTTATAAGGGCTGAAGCGCCCCACGGAAGGCCCTGGGGGTCACCTGAGTAGGCGGGGAGTCACCAATGCTCTTTTCCCTCCTCACCTATCTAGTTGTGTATGGTATCTGGGGAGGGAGGAAAACAAGTCCAATTCTTAGTGGATTTAAGTATAATAGTCAGGATCCCTAAGAATCGCACCATTACTTTGAAGCTCCAGCAGGGGGCACTGTGTATGCGTTTTTCTCCACTAGATTGTAAACTCCTTGAGGGCAGCGACGCTGTCATTCAAACTTTTGTATCTGCCCTAGTTTTCAGCTCAGTGCTCTGCACCCAGTAGGGTGCTCAATAGGTCTTTGTTAAATGAATGAAACAAAGGACCCCGGTGGGAAAAGCACTGGATTTGGAGTTAGGAGATAACGCATTCAAATACAGACCTTTTACTTATGTCTAGTCCTTTCCTTTCTTTACGCTTGCGGTATCCCCGTGTGTAAAAGGAAGGAGTTGTCCAAAATTATTTCTAGGATCTTTGCTAGCTTTAAATCCTCTGAGTGCGCTAGGTACTCAAAGGCTCCTGCATTTATTAAAGTGCTGCTAATTGCTATGGATGCAAAGATGAAAATGACAGTCTACCCTCAGTCTTTAACTTTCCGGTTGCTAGGTATGCACTTGCAGATAAGAATTATGCAAGGTCGTTTGTAATGGGGTATGCACTTGGGTGATTCAGAGAAGCCCTACCCTAATTTTTCAATAAAATCGCGGGGAAATTAGAGGGAAAGGTGGCCATTTGATACTGGTAAAGAATAAAGTACAAATAGAAAGATAATACTATTACCCACTTTCTATGATTTGGTAGGGTCAGTAGTTATCATAGTGTTTCATTTATAGAGTGTTTTATGGTTTGTAAAGCTAGGTGCTATTATTATTCCCCATTTCACCGGAGAAATTGAGACTGAAAGTTTAAGTCAGTTTAAGCCCTTGATCAGGGCCACACAATGAGTATCTGAAACAGCCTTTGAAGGCAAGTACTTCTGACTCCAGCACTCTATCCACTGCACCAACCCAGCTGCCCAACATTTTGAGGGCTTTTTCCATTCTCTCTCGTGGAGATCTTTTTTGTGACTAGCTGGTTTAGTGGGAAAACCAAAACAAAACAAAATCAAGGGGAAGGCCTCAGTACTTTCAGTAGAGATAAAAGATAAAAAGGAAATTGTTTCTGCCTTTAAATAACTGGCATTTTACTGGAGGAGGGGGGATATACAATATTCAAAGTATATTCACATCCAAGGATCTGTGATGCCATCAATTTAACAATATAGTTTGCAGCCCACCTGTGACTGCCATCTAGTTCATCTCTTGTCCTCTTCTCCACAAGGGGCCACCCCTAGGAAGAGTTCTTCCTTAATTTCTCCTAACATCTCTAACATACAACTGGAACACTTTTTATATATAATATTTTCCCCAAATTACATGTGAAAACAATTTTAACATTTATTTTGAGTTCCAAATTCTCTCTCCCTCCCTCCCCTCCCTCATCCTTGAATTGGTAAGCAATCTGATACAGGTTATACATGTGCTATTATGTAAAACATTAATTGGAGTGCTCTTGTTATCTATCTGTCATCCTTCACAATGTAATCAGCCCATTTTCTCTTCCTATTGATGGGGTACTTGTGTTTGGGTGATTGTGCTTGTACTTGGACCCCAGTTTCTCCCTAGTCTCAGAAACACTGTCTCTGACAATTTCTCCCCAGCCCAAGGACACTGTGCCTAGCAATGACTCATGAGTGGGCCCCAGCAAGACCCTTATCTCCCTCCCTGGTGCAGCTACACAAAGCTGGGTGAGAGAGTGCTGGGCTGCTCAGGCCCCAGCCCTAAGATCATGTCTCTGGAAGCTTCCCAATTCTTTAGTAAGCTCCTGTCTTATGAGAAAACTTTCCCTTGTTGCAGAGCATTCTCTAATCAGGACAGAGAGAGAGGGGTGTCTTGTCTGGCCCAAGGAGTTTTGTACCTGGCTGGCCAAAGGATTCTTCCTCCCTGCCAGATTCCCAAGATCCATGCCTCTGACATCTCCCTTCCTGTCTGGTATACTCCCTACAACTTTCCTATCCATAGCTCCCAAACACACCTGGACCTTTAGATTACCTAATCAGTATCCCTGGCATTCCTTTCTCATGCTCTTTTCCATATAAACCCTAGCTGCATCCTTAGTTTCTCACAGATTCCTTAAGAATCCTTGCCCTCTGAGAAGTGTAACAATAAACTTTTTGCCAACTTGACTTAAAGAATGCTTGAGTCTGTGAATTCATTCTAGATGACCCCATCCTGTAACTCCAGTCTTTGAGGGGTCTCAACCTATCATACCGCAACACTATCATATAATTCCTCACAAACAAGGTTCTTTATGGCTGCTTATTCACAATCACCATATACCTTTCCATTGCCCTCTGTATAATGCTCGTCTTTTGTTCTTTAGGGATTATTATGTCCCATGTTTACCGCCATACAGCAGCACTAGTAGAATGTTAGTATTAAAAAGATGGCCTTTGCTATCATGGAAATCTTGGAGTAATTAAAGGAGTTTTGCAATGTCTTGAAGGCAGTCCAACATGATCTCCCCCTGTTCAATTCTGGGTCGGACTCAGTGTAAATTTGTGCTCTTTGTCCTAAATGGACATATGATGAACAGACTCTTTAAGTGTCCATCCAAATGTATGTTATCAACCAGTCAACAAGTATCTAAGAGTCTATAATGTGCCAGACAATGTGCTAACAGCTAGAGATAGAAAGAGAGTGAAAAAATAATCCCTGGTCTCAAGGAGCTTACACTCTAGTTGGGGAGACAACATAACAGACAACCCTATACAGTTAAGAGCTATGCAGAGTGTATACAGAAAATTTCAGCTTATAAATCAGTAAAACAATAGGCTAAAACAAACAGCCTCAGTTTAAAAGCGCTTAGTTATTAAACAGCCCTATATACAATTTACATCCTAAAATTTATAATGGAAACCATTGATTTCAAAACCATTAGTGTTAAACACGGCTATAGTTGAAATGAATGCAGCTTACCTTACCTTCAGTATCAGATTTCCTGATCTTCCAGACAGATTAAAAAAAAATACTATTTCTAAGAAGTAAAATAAGTATTTAAAGTCATTTTGACTATTATAAATACCCAAATTAACTACAAAGGACATGTGAAGGAAGACACTGCATCTAGAGAAAGAGATAGATAGATAGATAGATAGATAGATAGATAGATAGATAGATAGATAGATAGATAGATAGATGTATAGAAGGTATAGAATGATTATATGTATGTGTGTATATATGTGTATACATATGTATGTGTACACATGTGTGTACTTATATGCATTTATATGTGTGTGTGTGTATACATATATATGTGTATATATGTACACATATATTTGTGTCTAATGGTAGCCATCTCTAGGGCAGGAATAGAGGGAAGAAAGAAAGAAAATTTCATGATAACTTTATTATATATTTAAAAAGAAGAGCAAGTTGTACATAATAGATTTGTAGTTATGTAGGCAATAATCTTTTATTATACTATGTTATGGAAATATGTTTTATTCCACAAATTAAAAATAAATTAAAAATTATTTTTAAAGTATTTAGCACCATGGCCCAGGAAAGAACAGAGGTAAAATTTGAACCATACTGTCCATGAGATTTTCTTGGTAAAGATACTGGACTGGTTTGCCATTTTCTTCTCCAGTAGATTAAGGCTAACAGAGGTTGAGTGACATGCCCAGGGTCACACAGCTAGTGAGTATCTGAGCTGGATTTGAACTTGGGTCTTCTTGACTCTAGGCCTAGTGCTCTATCCACTGAGCCATCTCTAGCTCCTGGCACCTGGTGGGAAAAGAGCCTTTGATGTAACATTTTGATCTACTAAATCAAATGCTATTTCATAATCAACAACCTATAAAAACAGTGAGATTATATATTCTCTACATCCTTCAGTTAATTCATAATTCAGATAATAAAGTGATAAAGAAGTGTCCATTGCTGAATATAACTTGTAAAAACCTACTTGCTCCCTACTAATACCCTCAACATGGATACCTTTGATTTGTGTGTCTTGTTTAAATATATATATATGTATATATATATACATATATATATATATAATATGTATATTTGTATGTATGTATGCGTGTGTGTATTTAGAAGAGCAGTTTGTTTTTGTTTTAATTTCTCTCAGTCTTTTTTTCAGTGTTAATAAGGTCTGAAATTTTTGGCATGCTTTTGAAATCTTCTCCTCTTTCAGATTCTTTATATTGAGAATTCCTCGATTATTCCCACACTTGTGTTGCCTGTACCACCACTCTCCTTTATATGTACTTGGTCCAATATGGCTGCTTTCCCAGTCTTTATCCAATTTAGGGCCTTTTCTACTTCTCCTACAAACACATGTAGGACTGTACTTTTAGGGCTTAAGTATAGCGGGTCTATTCTTTGAGGGAAAATTAAAAAAAAAACAATTGATTGTAATAAATTCTACAAATCTTTTCCATTTTTCTTACACTTGTTAAAGTGCTTCCATTTTTGTCCTCAGAAGCCCTTAGGATAGCTTTGTTAAGTTGAATGTCTTGTGGATTTTTCTTTAAACTGGTTGTGCCCTCCAATGCTCCTCTTATTCTATGCTTTACTGCAAATAATCATCCATCATCCTTTTTTTGTAAGATTTTACAGACGTGTTTCTGTTCTAACCTGATGTTGCCTTTGGCAGCCATCTCTCTCCATCTGGCAAGTTAAGTCAGATGTTTGCTGACTGTGGTGCTCTGTGGGTTTTTTTGGGCTCCATGTTGTGGCAATTCATTTATATTAGTTAAAC